GCCACCACCCATCCCAACACTTACACCGCAGCCCCAAGAGTGGTTCTGTGTCAGTGTGGGGCACCCATCCTCAGCTCCAGAGGACGGGGGTGACAAGGATACGGATGTCAGCCTCAGCAGGGCCCGAATTCTGGCAGTATTTGGAGTCCAGAGCTCTCTAGAATAATCTCCATTCCACATCCAGTCCACAAGTCCTTATTGAGCAACTGGGGTATTTTTATTTTACTTGTTTTTTTAATGTTTATTTGATTTTAGAGAGAGAGGAAGGCAGAGGGGAAGGGAAAGAGAGAAAAACATTGATTGGTTGCCTCCCACTCACATCCAGACCAGAGATCGAACCCATAACCCAGGTATGTGCCCTGACTGGGAATCGAACCTGCAACCTTACAGAGCACGGGACCACGTTCCAAATAACTGAACCACACTGGCCAGGCCTGGGGTGTTTCTTTTAAATACTAATGCTCCAACCCACCTCCAAACGCCCCAATCAATCTTAGGGGGGTGGGGGTGTGTTTATAGTTGGTAATCACACGTCTTGCAGTCATTAACCAGAGACCAGCTTCCCCACAATAGTAGGGTCGGAGCCAGGCCCTGATCGGAGTGAGGTTAGAGAGCGCTCTAAGTGGGCCGTTGGGGAGGTTGCTGAATGGGCCTGGCCAGCAGTGAGGGGAGCTGCTAAGTCGCTCTGTAGAGTAGCTGCAGGGAAAGCCAGGCCCGGAGGGGCAGGATTTGCATAATTTTCACTTTTGACATAGATTTGTTTGTTCTCTACTGAAAGTCTGAACTCCAAGAATAGAAAACTCACTGAGGTGTGGGGGGCGGGGTCTTCTGCTTACAGCAAACATGTTTGTCTTGCAGTTTTGCAAGCGTGCTTGCTTCCTCCCTTTCCCTGCGCCCCAGTCCACGAGACTTCAGACCCTATGGGGTCCCACAGGAGAAGGGTAAAATGAATGACGTTTGATCAGGGAAGTTCTTTTATATATATATATATTATTGATTTTTTACAGAGAGGGAGGGAGAGAGCTAGAAACGCCAATGAGAGAGAAACATTGATCAGCTGCCTCTTGCACACCCCCTACTGGGGATATGCCCACAACCAATGTACATGCCCCTGACCGGAATCGAACCCGGGACCTTTCAGTCTGCAGACCGACGCTCTACCACTGAGCCAAACCGGCTTCGGCTGATCAGGGAAGTTCTGAACTCAGTTCCTTCAGACGTAACTGCCTCAAGTAAGTGTTTGCCCACTCCATGCGGGGCACGGCCAGGTGTCAGAGTGGGATTCGGAGGAGGCTCCACTTTCGGAGGGTGGGGCAGGGCTAAGGAAGGCGGAGGAGGTGGGCTCTGGTAGAGAGCGCTGCCTTCCCAGTACCCTGCTGGTCGCCTGTCTGTGAGGTCCGAGCTGAGAGAGGTGCAGTGTTCTGGGGTCACCACCAGGGGTCAGGCCACCTGCTCTATTGACCGAGTCTGTCTCAGTTCCTGGCTATTTTACTCTATTGAGAAAGCCGCTGGGTCACCCGCTCCCTCAGAGCCCCGTGTCCCTTTCTCTCTCACTCCTCGTAGCCCATCATTCCCTCCTTCAGGTCATCCTGTCCCCCCGTCAGTGCAGGGCCAGGCAGCCTTCCAACGACACAGCCTGACGTTCCTCTTGACCCGTGAGGAGTCCCACAGCCTCTCAGTTCCCCAATCTCACCCGTGACAGACTGACTGGTGAGCAGAAAGGCCGTGTGCTGTCTCACCTCTTCTCCTCCTGCTGCTCTTCAGCTCAAGTCCCCAGTTCTGTCTATGGGTTCGCTCCTAACAGGTTTTCTTGGGTGGGTCAACAAGTCTCCTGGCCAAGCCCAAGCCCCGTGTGTGGCCCCGCCCAAGAGCTCACCCCAGCATAGCACCCACATCTGTGGAACCTCGATCCCTCTGGACCTGATCTCCTTTTGCTATCTGGCACGTCTCAGACCCTGCTCCTCCGGGTCCCACCTTTTATACACTCTCCATACTCCCACCCTCCCTCCCAAAATCGAATCCCACAGCTTTCAAGATTAAGCTCCTCTCAGTAGTTCTTTCCCACTTTGACCCTGTCCTCACACTCCCTCCCAGAAGCCTTCTTCCCAATGCAGGGTCTAGCGACAAACCGATGAGAGAGGATGCGGCTCTGCCAGGCACCGCTGTGCTGCCTTAACCTCTCTACGTCTGTTCCTTCGTCTGTCAAACGGGGCCCTGGGACGAGGCTCAGCCATGCTGTGCGGCTGAGTGGGGTGATGGCTGTGGAGGTGCTTGGTGCAGTGCTGGGTCCATAGCGGGTGCTGGGGAGATACTCCCCGGTCCCCCCCCCCGTCCCCCCCCCGTCCCCTCTGGCCTGCTGCTGGGACGCCTTGTCTCGGTGCACTGGCTGCCTCTGATCCCACCACTGCCCCGGGCAGGGGGGCAGCCACCGTGCTGAGGAGGTGGGGCCGGTGGGAGCTGTGTGGGGACCTCACACCAGAACTCCGTCTGCAGGGCTGTGACCTCACTCCACCAGGCCCAGGCCGGGGAGTGGTGTCCCCTCTCCTCCTCCTCCTCTCTGGCATTATTGGGGCTCCCTTTGGCTTTGGTGGGAAAGGGCTCCCCTAGAGTCCTCCGAGGTTTTGGGGGGACCAGAAGGAGGGTAGGAGGTGAAAGAGGGGAGGCAGGGCAGGGGGAATACCGACCACACGATATAAGAGTCCCTGCTCCTTTCCCACTCACACCCACCCCTCCACCCAACGCCATTCCTGGGTTAATTTTTAGCATCGCAGCTCACACATTAGTCACTCCCTGTCACCCACCTACACGGCAGGAGGCTGCTGTGCGGGTGCCGTCATCCCATCCACTGAGGGTTGGATCCAGCCCCGCCCGCCCTGGGTACCCTCTCCCCCTCCTCTGCGTGCACAGGGCTAGTCAGGAGCCCCTGTCAGCCTGGGCGAGGAGTCCCGACATCACTCCGGATAAGCTGCATGGGGAGGGGAAGAACCAGCTGGGAGGAGAGCGGCTGGGCATCTACTCTGGGAGCAGGAAGGTGGCAGCCGTGCCCAGGCAAACGGTCTCCCAGCAGCGCTGGGCCTGGAAACAAGGTGAGAGGCCCCTCCCGAGGCCTGAGGCCCAGGAGCCTCTTTGTCGGCACAGCAGAGCAGCTGTTCAAACAGGGAGCCTGGGGCAGCTCCATTTTCCTAACCAAATGCCCTCCCCCTCTTGGACCAGGGAGGGGAGGCCACCAGGTGCAGGGGCCTCGTCTGGAGCTGACACCCAGCCCCCGGGGATTGCGTGAAAGGCCCACAGATGTCCGTTACAGGTGGAGCGGGGAGGGCCCCTCCCCATTCCCAGGGCTGTGAGGTGGGAGGCAGTGGCCAGCTCTATAAGGGTTGGCCCTCAGGAGGCATTCCCACTGATCGACCATCTACTGTGAGAGGGCTGTGTTAGGCCTGGAGGGACAGGTAAAGGAGGCAGTTTCCCGCCTTCGGAAGGAAGTCAGTGAAATTACCAATCGGTAGTCCTGGCCGATGTGGCTGAGTAGGCTGAGCTTCGTCCTGTGCACCAAAGGCTCGCCGTTCAATTCCTGGTCAGACACACACCCAGGTTGTGGGTTCAATCCTCTGTTGGGGTGTGTGTATCTGAGGCAGCCAATCGATGTTTCTCTCTCCCCCTCACTCCCTCCCTCTCTAAAATCAATAAAAACATATTTTTAAAGAATTACCAATTGGTAGTAAATGCTATAAAGAAAATGGGGGAGGGGCCTCAAAATAAGAATAATGGGGACAGGTCAGGGAAGCCAGTCTGAGGAGGTGATGTTTAAGCGGAGCGCTGAGGAGGAATCAGCCTTGGAGAGAAGAGGACGCCAGGCAGAGAGAAGGGCATGGATTAAGGCCAGAGGCAGGAAAGAAGCTGGCACATTTGAGGAAGAGGACTAGAAAGAACAGGGGGCTTACATGTGACACGGAAGGAGAAACAACTTCAGTTTGGAGAGGCAGGCGGGGGCCAGATCCTGGAGGACTTCACAACGGCTCGAGCTGTGAGGTGGTTGGGCCTGTGGCTGCTGTCACCCCAGAGGGCGGGAGGCCTTTTGTACCGTGTCTGCCCAGAGGGATGTACGTGTTATGGACAACAGTTTAGGTCTCCTTTTATTCCAGGGGAAGCCATAACGAGTTTTAAGCCGAGAAGGGTTATGATCCGACTTCCTTTTTGGAAAGCTCTTCCCCCAACGGCTTGCTGTGTGAAGGATGGTCCAGGGATAAGGAAGTTAGGAGGAAGGCCGTCCGGAGCCAAGGGCAGTGGCACAGGAAGGAGGGCGGCCAGGCAGAACCCAAACCCTATAAAATCCAGGCCATTTCAGGTGGTGACGAGTAAGATGTTGGACTCCTTCTCGCCGAAGGCTGTAGTTCAGAGGGGCGGCAAGACCTCCGGGAGGCAGCGGCTGAGGGCTGAAGGGGCCAGCTCTGGCAGGGACAAGTGCAGAGGCCCCTAAGGGGAGGGGTCTGCCGTGTGCCCGTAAAACCAGCTGGCCAGGGCAGGGACCCAGAGGGGGACACAAGCCGGACGGGGATTCGAGCTAGAAATCTTGTTTTGGGGACACTGGAAACCCACGGAGGAGACCCCTGACGGGGCCGTCATAGGTTGGCTGGATGATGGCTAAGGTGTTCTGGGAAGTGGAGGTGCCCCGCACAGCCATCTACACAAGGACAGCTCAGGACTTTAGGGGGCGTGGCCGCCATCTGTTGTGGGTATTTGGGGAGGGAGACTCAAGATGCATTGAAACAAGAAGCTAAGTTCTGAAGAGGGCGTGGGCCTCCGGTTCAGGCCCAGACACGCTCGTTAGAAATCCCCCGACTACTTCCCTGGCTGCGGGCTCCGGGTAAACAAGGCATAAAACACAGCGTTTGTGCGTACACGTGTGTGCGCGCGCGCGCGTGCGTGTGCACGTGCGTACGGTGGAGTCAGAGCGTGCCTGAGCCCCCTCCCTCCGGCAGGCAGTCACCACGCCGACACAGATAAAAAACCGTACATTTTATACAGTTTGTGGTTCAGAAGCAACAATATGCAACACGGTGGAACCGCCAGTCCTGCCCTCACCCCACCCGGACATGCTCCTTCTGACCCCCCACCAAGGGGCAGAGACCCCAACTTGGTTACAGGCCCCTGGGCACTGCGGAGCCCTCCAGCTGAGGCCGGAGTGAGGGGGCCCTTCAGCTGGAACTGTGTGTGTGGAGAGGGGGGGGGGCCACAGGCCATAGCCTCTTCTCCCCAAGACCAGGGGCCGAGTAAAGCTGAGGGGAGGCTTCGTGGGCTGGGCCCCCATCAGGAGGAGCTTTCCGGGACACCCCACAAGGCACTGTGACCAGATGGAGGATGGCCCCCGAACCTCTCCCAGCCTGGAGCCCGGCTGGTTCTCCCTGTGCCAGCTCCCACGGTGGCTGGGGGGGAAGGGGGGCGGGCAGAAGGAGGAAAGGCATCTGGGTCGGGGTCCCCCGCTGGGCAAACAAGCCAGGCGCCCCGCTGAGCTGGCAGGGACCCTCTTCCGCTGCTCTGGGCTCCTGGGGTCCCCCATCTCCCTCGCCAGCGCCCCCTAGCTTTCCGCACGGGCAGGAACGAATAAATAAATAAATACCACCCCGCCCGCCCCCCCTACAGCTGGCTCTCCTCCTCCTCCAGGGAGCGGTTGAGTCCGGGGATGAACTTGAGCAGCCGCCGGCGGAAGCTGCGGTACTTGGCCTTGCGCAGGCCGGGCCCGCACAGCGCCTGCTCGCGGGCCTCAGTCCAGAGCGCGCCGGGCGCGCCGCCGCCGCCGCCGCCGCCGGGGCCCGGGCACCGCACGCTGGCGCTGCGGCTCAGCCCGGCCCGCAGCCCCGGGGCCGGCGCCTCGATGGGGCCGGGGCCCGGGCCCGGCGCGCGGGCGGGGGGCGGCGGCGGCGGCGGGGGCGGCGGGACGCCCTCGAAGAAGCACGTGTGGTAGACGGCGTCCTCGGGGTCGCCCCCAGCCGGCCGCGAGCCCCCGCGGGGGGCCCCGGGCGCGGCCAGCAGCGGTCCGAAGGGCAGGGAGCCGGGGAGCAGGCCGGCCCCGTACAGGCACGAGCGCACCGACTCCAACGTGTCGTAGATGCTGGGGTCCTTCACCACGAGGCCTGCTGGGGCCAAAGACGGGGGAGGGAGGGAGTCAGAGGGCACAGCTGGGGGGTCATAGGGGGATAGGGGGGGGGGGGGACACAGCAACTTCCTATTAACCATCTAAGTGGCCCTGGGCAAGTCCCAACGCCCAGTCCCACTTCCCTGCCTGTCAAATGAATGATGCACTCCCATCCTTATGGGGACCGCCTAGGTGTGGCACATGAGCCACGTGGGGGACTGTAAAACCTGCTCTCTGAGCCTTGGTGTTCCCATCTGTAACATGGAGAGACTTTCCAACACTGCCTTCAGAGGACTATTGAGAACAGAGTAGCCACCAGTCCAGGGCGGTTTTGTACCCAAAGTCGTAGCTCAACAGACCGCTCTTCACTTTGGAAGGAGCCCGCTCACCAGTTCTGGGGGGGCCACGTGGCTGAGGGCGTGAGGGTATCAGTAGGGGCACAGATTGCCCTTCACCGCGGCCCCAAGGTACTCACCGTGCACCAGCCGCTGCTCCTGCACCATCAGGGACCTGTATTCTCCCCACTTCTCATACAGGGTTTGCTGCAAGACACGCCCCCGCCTCCCGGTCAGGAGCCAGCCGGAGACCGGCCGGAGGTGGGTCCAGACTGAGGGATCAATCGCTTGGGGGGAGAGGGGGTTCACAGGGGAAACCTTACGGTGAAACGGAGGTTCGGATAACTGACCCCCTGAAGAAACGTGAGGCTGCAGGGGCGGGGCCGGGGAGAGGGCGGCGGGAGCCGGCCATTATCCGGGCTGCGTTACCTTCAGGTACTGCAGGCGAGCCTCCAGTTCCGCCTTCCGAATGGAAGTTCCATACAGAGTTTCCAGCCTGAGGGGGTTGGGGAACCGAAGGCTGAGTGAGTGCCCGCCCAGGATGCAGAAACACCAAGACAGGCTGAGCTCAGCTCAGGGCTCCCAGGGACCCTGGCGCCTGCACGCACCTGAGAATGTTGCCGGATGCCTTGATGATGTCCACGATCTCTCGGTGACGGATGCCTTCCACGTTCAGGCCGTTGACACTGGCGATGGTGTCCCCTGCCGGGCAGAGAGGGGGATCAGGTCAGCATCTGCTCAGTGCGAGGGAGGATCCCAGGCAGAAAGGGTAGGGGCAATGACCCCACAGAACCATCCTGAACTCCCCCTCCCACCACCCCATGGCTGTGGGAAGAACCTGTCCAGGCCCAGACCCCAGCCTAGGGGACAGCCCCTCTTCGACCCAGCCCCACACTCTACCCTCAGGAAGCTCTGACCCCAAGGGCCGAGCCCGCCCAGCAACTTCGGGCTGCCCCCGGAGAAGGTTGTTTCAGTCTAGCCCAAAGGCTGTCATGAGACCCAGACAGACAGGGAGGGGGCAGGGTGAGCAGCACCGAGCTGAGAACTAACACCGGCCCTGGGCAGGAGTGTGGCTCATCCCCTGTGCCACTGCATAGCCTCCTGACCCCGGGCAGGGCAAACCGCCCTGGGCATGACCCCAGCTGTGCCCACCTCGGGGATCTGGAAGGAGAGTGGGGTGAACCTGTTTTGCAAAGTTGCAATATACCACTTGGCCATGAGGGGCTGCTGGTGAGTGGGCAAGCAGGTGAGGGCTTCGGGAAGAAAATGGTAGCAGAATTGGGAGGGGCCCGTTCGTGCAGTTTCATGCTGCTCCTTCCTGGGACTTGGGACTCTAGACTTGGCCAATCCCCAGGGTCGTCTCCTGGAGGCATCATTTCCCTGTTAGAGGAAGTCACACAGGTACCCCAGAGCTGGGCCAGGTCAGGGGCAGGATAGGCCCTGACCCCTAAGATCAGGCAGATCGAAGGGAAGGCTGCTCCTTGCCCAGCTCCTGCAGCCGCTGGGTTGCCCAATTGCCAGGAGGAGGCAAAACATCATCAGGCAGCCCTGACCGGTTTGGCTCAGTGGATAGAGTGTCGGCCTGCAGACTGAAGGGTCCCAGGTTCGATTCTGGTCACGGGCATGTACCTGGGTTGCGGGCACATCCCCAGGAGGGGGTGTGCAGGAGGCAGCTGATCAATGTTTCTCTCTCATCAATGTTTCTAACTCTCTATCCCTCTCCCTTCCTCTCTGTAAAAAAAATCAATAAAATATATTTTAAAAAATCATCAGGCATTTACCCGGCCCTGGCTCCTCTCCAACTATAATGTGAGGGCATGTCATTGCCCCCATTTATTGAGGAGACTGCTAGATCACATGGTAAATGGCAAATGTGCCTGGACCAAAGCCTGGAATCTACCCATTCTTTCCGGCCTTCCTAAACCAGGGCAAGGGAGGGGAACTGTTTTAGAGAGAGTTCTTGCCCCCTCTGTTGGGAGTAAGGGTATACCCCTTCCCAGAGCCCTGCGTCTGAGCTCAGGCCCCACCTGGCGTGAGCCCAGCCAGCTGGGCAGGGCTCGCCTCATGAACCCGGCAGACAAAAGTCACCATCTCCACTCGCTGCTCCTCCCGGTGGTGAAGGCCGTAGGTCTGTAACAGACGAGGGGACCCCTTAGTCCTGGGTTGGGGCAGAGCCCCCACATTCCTCAGACTGGCCTCCCAACCCCTCACTTGCTCTGCACCCAGCGTCTCCCACCTGGATCTCAAAGCCGAAGGTCTGGTTTTCCTCCTTCTTCAGAGTCAGCACTTTCCTGCAGGAGACACAAGGGCCATCTCATCAAGGCTGTCAGCATTGAAAGGAGCTTGGCAGTCCCGCAGCGTGGCCTGCCACTGCCGCCGGAGCCGGCTCGGGAACAGCCCGTCAGAGCTCCCTGTCTCCAGGGACAGCTCATTCGCAGCACAGGTTGCTGGAATGTCCTCCCCGTGCCCAGCCGAAATCAGCTTCCTCCCGCCGCCCAGAGTCCATCCAGCCTCCGGTGGGGGGGGCACTGGGAAGGTCCAGCTCCCAGAGCTGGTGGAGGAGCTGGATCATTTCTTAGTCAGTTCCTCCTTCCTCTGAGCCCCAGAGTGGCACTTACTGAGTTAGCGAAGGCTCTAAATTCAGCCCCAGCCTGGAGCCTCCTCTGATCCACAGCCTTGGGAAGAGGGCTGGCCCTGCGCCCTGCCCCCGCCCTCCCCCTCCGCCCCCCCAGAGGCCAGTCACGAGGCTGAGCCCAGACCACAGCTGCTCCTCCCAGCTTCGGTGGGGCCGGCCCACCAGATGTGAGCGCTGGGGGGAGGGGAGCCTCAAGGCCGCCCCTTCCCGCACGCTCGGAGGGCCTGCCCACTGGACACAATGGTCTGGAGCGGCTCCAGGTCCTCGCCTGCTGGGGGAGCCTAGAGTTTCCTCTGCCCACTCCGCCCCCTTCCTTCCCTCCCCGCCAGAGGCAGAGTGAGAGCAGCTGCCAAAGGCCCCTTCGCGGCTCCTCGCCTAGGAGAGGCCCTGGAGACCCGGGTCCCCGGCTCGCAGCCTGACCCAGATACTACTCCCCAAGTGCTGAGTGGCAATTCCCAGCCGGAGCCCTCGGAGGGGTTCGGGAAGGGAGCAGGGCGGCTGAGGAGTCTGTGTTTATCCCAGGGCGCTCGGGTTTTCTGGAAGGGCTAGCAAACTTTTTCGGCAAAGGGTCAGGCAGTAAATAGTTTAGGCTTTCTTTTCGGAGTTCATTCAGCCTCTCATACACGGTTCTTTGTTTTTATTTTAACAACCTTTTAGACGTATAAAAACAGCTCTTCGCTCAGGCACCGAGCAGGCCCATCTGGCCAGCTGGTCCGTTTTAGAAGAAGCCAGGCCCAGACCGGGACCCGGCTGAGTGGGGCCCGGAGCAGCACTGAGGTCTGCGCTCCCTCAGACCCTTCCTGGCAGGGCTGCCACGGGATGGGGCGGGTTCTGGAAGCCGGGGCAGCGAGACTGAAGCAGCTGGACACAGCTCGGCTACGGTCTGGGCCCTCTGGATTGGCTGGGGCTGGGAGGGCTCAGGACCCTGGAAACTTCTCTTACCTTCCTCACCTCCCAGGTCCAGGCCTCCCGAGGGAGGGGACATTGGCAGGGACCAGAGGTGGGTTGAGGAGCATCTGATGACTCAAAAATAGGGACTCTTTCTGTGCCACCCCCTTCACACAGCCCACACCCACACCCACACCCACACCCACACCTGCCCCTTACTTCACAGGAGGGAGCCACGCTGAAAGGGTGGGAGAATGACTCCCCCGGGCTGGGCGAGATACTGTCAGGCTGCCCCCCACCTCCCCCAGGTGCCTCCCCGCTTTGAGCCAGGGCAGGGGCAGGGGTGGTGGTTACTCACCGCTGCTGCTCAGGACTCTGGCTGAGATTCTTCCAGCGGAATCCTGAACCCTGGGCAGGAAGATGTTAGAGTCAGGAAGGGGCAGGTGAGAAGAGGGCTGTCCCTGAGCAGATGCTGAGGGCATGGCTCTGGGAGGTTCCCCGGCCCCAGCACTCCCTGCAGGCTGGTCCCAGTTGCACATCTGCTTAACTACTTGCTAAGTCCACTATCAGCGTCACCCCTCGGCATCCTCCCCGTAGGGGGACTGCAGAGACACACAGTCCCGGGTTCCAGACACACGGACCTCTAGGCTCGCACTGGGGGTGGGTGTTGCACTCATCTCGGCAGAACAGTCTCCACCCCGGGGTGCGAGGGCCCGGGCCTCGCAGACGCCCGTCAGGGCGCTCCAGAGACCGCCCGCCAGGCAGGCCTCTCCTAATCTCTCAGCCGCAGACAGTGGCTTGGAGCGCTGGGCTCCGGGCCCAGGTCTGAGGGCGGGCAATCCCAGCCCAACTGCGGGGAGGCAGGGGCCAGAGGGGCCAGAGTATTTCAGGGACCTGGGCATTGGATGCTTTCTGGGACAAGAACAAACAAACAAACAAAATCCTTAGGCCTCCAACGTGTCCTTAAGTCTCATCATATTTAGGAGAGAGATTGGGAGTTCTTTTTGTTTGTTTATTTTTGGGGGGATGAAAGAGCAGAGGGTTCCTGACTCTTTAGGGCCCTTGAGAAACTAAAACAGTCCTTCCCTACCCCCTACCCCTTCTCTCCCCCTAAAGTATTGATCCTCGGAAGATAAGTCCCAGACCAGCCACTGTCCCATGAGCCCAAGGCGCCCTGGGCCTTCCTGGTTGGTGCCCTGGTTAGCTCTCCTCACCAGCCTCCCCAAGGCTCGGAAGATAAGGGGACTAAGGGGACCCTCTTTCTCCAGAGCCAGAGACTGACCTCAGGGGTGGGGACACTTCCCAAGGGGCCGGGGAGGAAGCACGGGGCAGCCCAGAGAGAGACCCCTTTGTCTTTCCACCCTATTTTCATAAAATGCAAATCCTCAACAAGCTGTTCATTGTGTGGGGGGAGCCGAGGGCCAGGGGAGGAGGAGGAGGAGGAGGGGGACCGAGCAAGGAAAGACCGCCAGCCCCCTCTCCTAACCTGGGTCTGTACCCCCACCCCGGCCCCCTGCTCAGAGCTCGGGCTTCCCTGGGGCCAGAGGAAGAGCCCGCGGAGGAGGGGAGACGCGGAGGGCAGGCGAGGCCCGCATCCTTCCTGCCCCGCGGGCGCCTGGGACCCCTCCCACCGCGTCCGGTCCGGCCGGTCCGGCCCGGCCAGGTCCCGGAGCCGTGACCTCGCCCCCCGCAGGGCGGCAGCCCCGGCCCAGGCGCCCAGAGCCCGCTCCGAGGGGGGAGCGCCCCGGACCGTCCTCTCCACCGGGACCCCAGCCCGGCCCCGCTCCCCTGCAGGAGCCCGCGAGGGGCCCTCGGGCTCCGGGAGGCAAGGCGCGGAGGTGCCGGCCAGCTGGATGAGGAGGAAAAGGGGGTGCAGGGGGGTCAGGAGGGAGAGCCCCGAGATGGGGCGGCGGCGAGGCGGGGGCCAGGGGCGGGCAGCTCCAGGGACGGGGCCGAGGGAACTCGGCTGGTCTGGCCCTGGCCGTGGGGGGTCGGGCTGGGGAGCATAGCGGCGGACTGGGGGGCCCTGGGCGGGATGCTGGGAGGGTCGCGGGGGGCACAGGTGGGGGTGCTGCGGGCTGGAGGTCCGGGTAAGGGACTCCGGGGCGGGGTAGCGGCCCGGAGGGTCCGTGAGGCCGGCGGGGAGGACGCACCTTCCGGCGGGGCAGGGTGCCCCCCGACACGGCGAGCGCGCGGTACAGCTCGGCGGGGTGGACGTCCTCCAGCGCCGCGTACAGCGCGTCCCCCGCGGGCCCGGCGCCGGCGGCGGCTGCGGGGGCGCCCGAGGCCGGGGGCCGCGCCGGGGCCCCTCCGGGGGCGGGCGCCCGGGCGGCGGGGCCGGGGGCGGCGGCCGCCTCCTCCTTCGGCGGCGGCTTCCGGAGCCGGCGGAGGGTCATCGCTGCGGCCGCGGCCGGCGCCCCTCGGAGGCGCTGGCTCCGCCGCAGGCGACGGGCTGCAGCTCGGGGTGCCGCCGGGCGGGCGGCGCCTCCCTTTATAGGCTCCGCGGGCGGGCCGGGCGGGGCGGGGCGGCCTCCCGGCGGCCAAGCCCCCAGCGCAGGCCCCGCCCCCGGGGGCGCCCGGAGCCCGGAGCCCGGAGCCCGGAGCCCGGAGCCCGGAGCCCGGAGCCCGGCGCGGCGCGCGGGGAAAGTCGGGGAGCGGAGCGCTCAGTGGGGGGACCTGGCCACGGACGGGGAGAAAAGGAGGGGGGGAAAGCCGGGCGTCCTGGGCGGCCCCGGGTCTCCGTGGCCCCTGGGGGAGGGGGGCTGGGGAGGGGTTCGCTGGAAGAGGTGAACCTCTGAGGGAGGATGCTCTGGGGACTCGGGGACCCCTGGCGGTGGAGGAGCGGGAAGGGGTCCGGTGAGGAGGGGTGCACCCAGGGGAGCTCCGGGAGACCTGGGAGCTGCGGAGGACGGTGGGCCAGCGGAGAGGCCCGGGGCTGTGCAGGGCTCACGGAGGGCGAGGCCAGGCTCCCCAGCGGAGGTCAGAGAGGCCTCCTCCGCCCCCCAAGTCAGGGGAAGGAAAGGGGTGGGAACCCTGGAGACGGTGGGCTTATCCCGGCCGGCCCCTCGGAGGGGAAGAAGTGGCCCCTCCTGGGGAAACCTGTCCTCAGCCCCTGACGTCAGAGCTCACCACCCCCTCCCCAGCACACTGAGGAGCTGACTCATGGGGAGGCGGTGTGCCTCCCTCCGCTGCTCCGGAGTTCAAGCTTGGGGTGTGCTCAGCCCCGCTCTGACCCAGGCTGAGGGCCCCAGGCCACAGAGAGGTGGGCGGCCCAGCTGAAGGCGCTGCCGTCAGAGGTGCCCGAATAAGAAGTGAGAGGAGGAAGGGGAAGGCCAGGTCTGGCGTCTGAGGAGCGGGGAACTCCCGCAGGGTGGTAACCCCCACAGGGGGCCCAGCACCACCTCAGCCACTGCACAGAGGCCAAGGCCGGGGAGCGCTGTCCCTGTGTCAGCCTTGATGCTAGCATTCACGCACACGGACCATGTGCTGTGCACCCTGCTCTGCATATGCTTTGCATACACAAATTAACTCACTTGGTTCTCATGACAACCCTGTGACACAGGTGTGATCACCCTCCCTTACACACAGGAAGCCCAGGCCCAGCTAGGCTCAGTAACTTGCTCTAGGCCAGTGGTCGGCAAACTGCGGCTCTCGAGCCACATGCGGCTTTTTGGCCCCTTGAGTTTTTAGCAAAGGCCAGCTTAGGAGTACTCTAATTAGGTTAATAACAACGTACCTACCTATATAGTTTAAGTTTAAAAAATGTGGCTCTCAAAAGAAATGTCAATCGTTGTACTGTTGATATTTGGCTCCGTTGACTAAGGAGTTTGCCGACCATTGCCCTAGGCTACTGAGTGGCAGAGCTGAGATTCAACCCCTGGCAGCCCGATTCCAGAGCCTGCAAGCCACCGCACTCATGCTGTCACCTTCAGCTCTTCCTTCTCCCCGCAGGGAAGCCCGGCTGCAGGCCAGGTCCTGGCGGGCACTGGGGTGACAAAGGCTCCGGGGCTTGCGGGGAGTGTGCCCACACAGGTGCGGTGTCGGACACCTGGCATGAGGCGTTCGGAGGGACAAGTGGCCACGTCCACCCGGGGCAGCCAGGACAGGCTGTCTCCCGTTCATCTCACTCAGGGGTCTGTCACACAGTCGCCTTGCTTCCTTGTCTCCTTGACTTTCTGTGTCTGTCTCTTCCCGGGCCCCAGGCCCCGGGCCCCGGGGCCCTGCCCTGCAGGTGGTGTGGGTGGGAGGGGGGTACTCTGCCCCTCGGTGACCACACAAGTCCAGATGGCAGCATGCCTGTTGGGTGGGGGGCAGGGGTGCAGGGGGGACTGCCAGGAGCCGAGCGCTAACTCCCAGGGTGCCTTCATCCTCCTCCTCCCACTTCTCCCCTTGGCACCACCAAGTGGCCATCGAAGGAGGGGCTGAGGGGGTGTCGGTGGGGAAACACGCGGCTCTATTGTGAAGCATTAGCACAGATGGACCCCTGGACCGTCTGCTGCCTGCTCCTGACAGACGGCATCTGCGCTGGGGGTGGGGTGAGGGTGGGAGGCGAGCGAAGGCGGCAGAGGCAATGGTTTCTATTCTCTGTATTCCTGTGCTTATCCCCGCAGAGACCTGCGAAAGGGCCGCCATCCTGCCTCTCCCGGAGGGGCGGCCTCATTCACTCACCGACACCTCCCTGCCGGGGGCTGGGGGCGTGGACACGTGGGCAGCGCAGCACCGAGGCGACAGCCCTGCGGAGACCGTCCTCCAGGCCGTGGCGGAGGCAGACCCCCCTCAGCATGCAGGCCCGTCTGCCTCCCTGCTCCAAGCAGAGGCCCCCCCTCCTGCCAGGCAGAGAGCCCCAGAGGGAGGGTGGGCATGGGGGATGCAGTTCTGTCAGGGTCATTGCACGATTCCCCAAACCCAGGAATTTCAGAGCTGGAAAGGGCCTTATGGTCCGAAGGGTTACCATGTGGAAAGCCCTGGTCTATCAGAGGAGGCAACCCGAGGCCAAGAGGGTGGCCGAACAGGTGCTTTCACCACGAGATCCCGGGCTCTTGACCCCGGGGCTGTTTTGTTCGTTGCTGGTAGCTCCCCTGAGAGCGCAGAGCCCTGACTGCTTGCTCCCACCTCCACCCTCCCCTCCCCAGCTTCTCCAGGGAAAAGGCGGTGATGATACCACACTGTGGGGTGGTGATGCCCTCTGGTGGTCACGAGTCTCCTGGTGGAAAACCTTCAAATCAGACCGCAGGGCTGGTTCCAGGACTCCACGGGGAACCCCAGCTGGTGGTGTGGGTCCCCCCAACTCTCCCACCCCAGGGCCTGTGTTCCCCGGAGGAGCCCCGCTCCACGTTAGCCACCGAGAGGAAGCTGCGTTGGACCTCAGCTGGCGCTGCCCCGCTGCAGGAGGAACTCACCGGGAAGACAGAGGGCTGGCGGGCGGCCTGGTGTGTAACCTCCGCCGACCGCACAGAGGCCCTGACCTCTGCCTTTGCCGAGCCTCCAGCACTGCCTCCGAGGCCGAGGTCCGGCATCTCCTCCTCATCCGGCTCCTGCAGCTCCTTGACGCTGGGGGGTGGGGAGGCGGGGGGAGCGTGCTGCACTCTGCAGCACCCCAAACCAGGGCCAGTCTCCCCTCTCCTCTCTCTGGGAAGCCCCTTGCAAAAGCCCCGTCACTCTGGCTCCTCGCACTCCACTGGTACTTCATTCCCAAGGGCAAGCCCCCTGCCTTTCAGGAGGAGCTCCCCGCCTCTGGCTTCCTTTTGCCCCAGCCGCCCGAGCTCCCAGCTCGCAGGACAGGGCTTGGCTTGTGCTGGGGGCACAGACAGCAGGGCCTCAGCTCCTGGACAAGGCCAAGGTAGGACTCCCTTCTCTTCGGCACAAGCCCTTGCCCGGACACTCAACAGCCCCCAAGAGGAAGTGGGAGAGCTGGATCTCACCCCAGAACCTCAGGCCCCTCTGGAGTCTCAGTGGCAGAGCTGGAGGGATGACTGTCTGCCCCCGGGGCTCCTCTCTGGGTGTTGCAGGGGGTTGGGGGGAGGGAGGGAAGGAGGCCTGGGACTCAGCTGGCTCTCCGGTCAGGAATGAGGGGCTGGGCCCCAGTTGCATGGCACTGAGGGAGGCATGGACAGCCGGTGGGCAGCTGACAGGGAAGGAGTGGTTGTGTTTCGGAATGACTCCTATTGCTCAGCAGTTCCCACAGGTTAGTGTGAGTGTGGTGCTGTGGCTCGGGGGACCCCAGCGGCAGGGGGATCCAGCCCAACCCAGACGTGATTCTAGGGGGTTTGCATGTTGGGGCGAGGCAGATAGGACCGTTTATTTCCTTGGATATGGGTGGCCTCTGAGTTTGGTCCCACCCAGAGGTCAGAGATTCTCTTGTGCTGGGATGGCAAGGTGTCTCCAGCCTGAACAAGTCAGACTGGTGGAAAAAAGGAGGGTCACTTTCCTGCTCTCCGTACAGCACCCTCCAGGACAGAGGTATGCATGGTTTACCTGCTTCAGTTAGGACAGAAAGCGGCAGCTCTTAGGGACCCAGGTTCCCCGGGTCTCCACCCTCTTGGCTAACACAGCTGCTCTGGTGGTTCATTCCCTCTCAGAGGGGGCGGGGGAGGGGGGGAGCAGCGGGCACCAGGCTAAGACTCTCCTGTTTACACTGCCCAGCACGCCTCTTTCTCTCACTGTTTGCTTTTGCTCACGCCCCAAACCCATGCATTCTACCAGTTGTCTCCCCCTTTCCTGCAGCTGATCCTGCTCCCACCACTGCAGTTGCTTCCTGGAGTCAGTGCTGTGATTGTCCCCAAACACCTACAGGGTCACATCCCGCCCTTGCGTAAAGCCTTGCTTTAACGTGCCCGTTCCCTGCATTGGGAACGACCGAGAGGCGTTATGGGACAACTCCACATAAGCATGCTGCTGAGAAAAATGTGGAGGCCACGTCCAGACTCAAGAGGGGGAAAAATGACTGATAGGTTAGCACCTTCGGGGTAGCTGCACGGGAAGTGATGGCATTGGTGGCCCCTGAATGAATGCTTTTTCAGCACATGACGGCTCCGTTGCAGCCCTGGCTCCCCTGCACCAGCCGTACTGACTTACGTGGTTCTTGGGACACACTCATTTTGACCAAAACTCCCTCCTCTCCTCAATCAGCAGGCCAATGTCTGCTCCAGAAAAGATGAGATGTCACCTCTTTTGACCCCAACTATAGGAATCTCTTCACAACCCACGTGGAAAGAGTTCCAATTCAGGGTTCGGGTTCTGGAGAAGGGCCGCACACAAATGAAGAGACTTGAGACTTTGAAGAAATTCAACTTGGCAATATGGGGGGCCAGGCAGTAGTCCAACTCTAGTGGGAGAACTACTCCTGCTCTGGCCCTGTCATCCCTTTTATTGAAGCTTTGGGGAAAACATCTTAGGCAACATCAACAGAAATTACATGTAGCCCTTAGGCAGGAAATAACAGAGACTTACATGGGACAAACAAGGTGGAGGCTGCTTCAGCTAACAATATCTCAACTAAAGGTTAGAGCAATTAAGGTTGTTGACCAGCCTTCCTGTCAAGATCTCTTTTTTAGTGAAACAGATGTTTTCCAGCACCCAACCTCTTGTTTGTCCTCAGTTCCCAGAGCATTCAGTGTCTGTCCTTATCACAGCCCTTATCTCAGTTCCTTGTAGTTACCAATTTACTAGTCTGTTCGGCCAGTGAGGAGCCCGGAGGGCAGTCCCGTGGTTCTCTAGGCCCGGCATCTGTGCTTCCATCACTCCGTAGTGGGACTTGCTTCATCATTCCCTCCCTACAGGTCCTCTCTCTCTGATGATTGTTCATTCTGCCTTCTGCTTTACACACTACAGTTGCTCGACAAATGCTTATTTAATAACAATCTACTTATTATTAATATTCATTAATTGTTCCTTAAACCTTCCTACCCCATGAGCCCTATCCTTGGCTTCCAAAGAGCATTCCCAGACAGATCCAGGGCTCTCTGTCATATTCCTTATGCCATCCTGTCTGACCATGGAGTGCCCATCAACTAACTCTCTGTTGGGTGTGCTGCCAGGTGCTTGGTCAAACACCAGCTTAGACATTGTTGTGAAGGCATGTTTGAGGTATGATTAACCTTTAAATCAGTAGAATTTCAGCAAAGCAGATTGCCTTGCAAATGTGGTTGGGCTTCATCACTCCGCTGAAAGCCTTAAAACACTGAGGCCCCTGAGGAAAAAGGAATTCTGCCTCCAGGCTGCCTTCGGACACAAGACTGCGCCGTCAATTCTTCCCTGGCTCTCTAGCGTGTTGGCCTCATTTCAGACTTGCCAGCCCCAAAACCATGAATCAATTCCTTTAAAAAATCTATCTATTCTGACTGGCTTGGCTCAGTGGATAGAGAGCCAGTCTACAGACTGAAGGGTCCCAGGTTTGATTCCAGTCAAGGGCATGTACTTTGGTAGTGGGCACATACCCAGTGGGATGTGTGCAGGAGGCAGCTGATCAATGTCTCTCTCTCAGTGATGCTTCTTAACTCTCTGTCCGCTCCCTTCCTCTCTGTGAAAAATGAATAAATTATATTTTAAAAAAATCTATCTATCCATCCATCTACCCACCCACCCACCCACTCACCCACCTTACTGGTTCTTTCTCTGGGGAACCCTAATACAGCATTCCTGGCTGGATCCAAAGTTTCCTCCCCTCCCACCACCTTCATTCTGCATCCCTCTATGATCCCAAGTGTCTCTTGAAGGCTTCTACTCTACTCCTTATTTTGTTTTGGTTGTTTTTAGCAATCATGTTTTCCAGACTGCGAAGATCACAAGACATGGCCTGGGGGTAAGGAGGAAGCAGGAATGTAAAATGTGTGTAACGGAAACCTAAGTGACACACCAGCCAAATGGATTCAGGTCTCCTGGACTGGGCCTTACAAAGGTGAAACCCTGTTAGTAACCTCCAAGGGCACATGAAAAGGTACCAGAATGGCTGGCATTCTGATTTCCAGAATGAAGTTGAACCTGCAATCCATAGCCTAGGCACATGTGTCAAACACAAGGCCCTCGGGCCAAATCCGTCCCGCCAGGCCTTGCAATGTGGCCCGCACCGCGCTGTCATCACTGCACTCCGCTGCATTTCCATCACAATGACAGTTTATAACTGTTCAGTAAACCATTCGGCCCGAGATTTAGGCTGGATTTTAGATTTTGGCCCCTTCTCTGATTGAGTTCGACACCCCTAGCCTAGGGAATTGGAGGTCCATGCCTGCAAGGTAACCGACTGTCTTTTCAACTGGGTTGAGATTAGCTACAAGCCACTTCCCCGTTCCTTCTGACACACAGGTAGGTCAAAGAGAGGCAGCGGCCCCAGTACGTACTTGGCCACTTCAGCAAGCTACCTGGGCTTCTGCTGTTTCCTTGTGCGTCAGAGAATTGTGGCTAGGGAGCATTTAATCAGCAGGTAACCTGGGAAATGGGGATAGATGCCAAACTTAAAAAGCCAACTTCGAAAAGTAAGTTACTAGACTTTCTCCAGCCCACAGTCTCAGATGGGAAAACAAGGAAAAAGTCTAGGAAAACCATCAGAATTTTTTTTAAAAATATATTTTATTGATTCTTTACAAAGAGGAAGGGAGAGAGATAGAGAGCTACAAATGTCGATGAGAGAGAAACCGCTGAGCCAAACCGGTTTCAGCAAACCATCAGAATTTTAAAATATCGACAGGCCAGAGCAACGGGCAGGTTCTAAAACTTATGGTAAAACTTAACAGGGTAAACACATGTGGTCCTGCACCTGAGTTCAACTTCCCTTATAAAGGACGGAGGAAGGAGGCTGGATTTTACTCAACCCGAGATAGGAGACGCAGCCATGGGATGTGACCTGCCGGTGTCAGGCACAGCCCGGGGCTCCCGTTCTGGTCTGTGCTGCCAGCTGATGCCGAGGTGAAATGTTACGTGCTCTTCCTGGCCGGGGCTCCAGAGGCTCAGCGAAGAGCCGCAGGCCTGGGGAGGAACCGAGGACCACGGAGGCTGGACAAAGGCTAAAGGGCTGCAGTCCGACATCCTAAACCCAAGGTCTTTTCCAGCCCATGAGCTGTGCTTATTGGATTTACTGGCCATCTTCTTGAGTACTCTAACCCCCGATTCCTAATCTATAAAGAGAGGACAATGATGCCCACCTCACACGCTTTTAGGATTAAAGCAATCAAACACATAAAGCAAATTTGGGCGCATTGCTCAGCACACGTAAGTGTCTGCTGATATTAACTGAAGAAACCCGAAGCTTTGCCAGATTCGTGGTGACATGACAGCTGCCTTCACGTATTACAAGGGCCTTATAAGGAAGAGAGAAAGCACTCTGAAGTGCTTGCGGATGGAAGTCACACGGAGGTTGCCCGGTTCTACGTGAGGAAGGACGCTCTCCACAGCAGACATGCAAGGTATGATCCTGAGTGTCACAGCGGGAGGTTCGAAATCACGTGGCCCACAACCACGTGGCGGGGTGCTGTGCCCAATGGGTGGTAGGCGCGGGTACCTCTAGGGTCCCACCTAAACGTGGAATTCTGATTCTCGGACTTTTATCCCAGGTTCCCTCAGCCTGGAGACATCCACAGCCACCCACACCCTGAGAATGCCAGAGGAACCACTGGAGACTCACGTCCAAAGCCCCAAATGCACATCCACACTCCACGTGAGGAGAAGCAAACGAGGAGAGCTTGTAGGCTGTTTTCACGACGACGACGTGGTTTACAACTAAGCAGGATCAAGACCCTCTTTTGTCTAAAAAGGAAAATGATACAAGACTAAACTATAGACAAAGCCCAGGAGAAGGTGTTCAGTGTCCCATCCCTCATGTGCCAGGCCTTCCCCTCCACGGAACAGAGGACAGTCTCAGGAGCCCCGACAGGGCTGGCCCAGCTCCTCTGTGACCCGCTACCTGGCCCAGTGGGAGCAACTCAGATGGAAAAACGGATGGCACCAGGCCCTAGCCCGTTTGGCTCAATGGATGGAGCTTTAGCCTTCAGACAGAAGGTCCCAGGTTCGATTCCAGCCAAAGGCTGGGTTGCAGGCTCGATCACCAGTGGGGGGCATGTGGGAGGCAGCCGGTTAATGATTCTCTCATCATGTTTCTCTCTTCCCCTCTGAAATCAATAAGGATTTACTTTTGAAAAAATACAGATGGCACCAGAACAGCTCTGTGAATAAAACTTTAATAATGTACAGCAGAAATTGGACAGGCTCATTCTTATATTAAAACAAAAGATTTCCTATATTACAACCTATTTACATTTGCATACTGAAGAGGTAAAGTGTCTAAGTGGCTATTTTACAGTCCTTTCTAATAAAATGTACAAAAACAAACAGAAGTACCGAGAATGCCGTTCGGGGGCCTTGATGGCAACGGAAGAACGGGCTTGGTCTTGGTCTGAGTCCAGAATCCAGAGGTGCAGGTGGCCCCAAGGGTCAGGGTGAGCCCAGGGGGCCAAACACCACGGCTTCAGGCTGTAGTTTCTCCCAACTCTCTAGACTCCTAACGCTTACGGCTAAGAGTGGCAAGGGTGAGGACGGGAGCTTCCCCAAAAAACTACCCAGCCTTCCCCGGGGGGAGGAGCTGGATGCCCATGCGGGGAGGACGAAGGGCCACCGAGGGAGCAGGCGAGTGGCGTGGGAGTCCCTGGGCTGAGGAGTGTTGGCAGATCCCAGAGGCGGGTTGTGACGGGCACAGGAGTCTATTCCCGTTATCACTCAGAGCCCGCCAGGTTCTGCAGGGCAGAGGGGCGAGGGGCCAGCAGAGGTGAGGAAAGAAAGTCCTCTGATGACACAATTGGTATTCAAGGGAAATTAGTCAATAGCCAGTAAATTGGCCCAAACGGGGGAAATCTCCTTTAACACAAGGAAAGAGGCAACACGTCAGGAAAATAAATAGAAGGGCCAGGGGCGTCGGGAGACGAGGCAGGGAGAGGGCGCCCCCTCCTCCACAAGCTTTGGCAGAGAATCGCTGGGCCGGAGGCAGGGCGGCTGTGACACTGGATCCACACGCCTCCCGGGGCAGGCAGGATCAGGAGGAACGCCGTGACCGGGCTCGGGTGCCCACCACCCGTCTCTCTGGCGTGGGAGGCATCCTGGCTCCTCAGCGGTCTTCTTCTGGGAGAGCAATCGTTCCAGAACCAACGACTGCACCAAACTTCTGGCCTCAAAACAGGCCCCCACTAACGGAGCAGGTCCTTCCTCAGCGCTCACAGCCATATTCCCAGCACCGAGCGCAGTGCCTGGCACCAAGAGGCCCCGACACGAGCAGAGCAAATGCCTGGAGGAGAAGGTGCAGCCGGCTGGACAATGCACAAAAGGCAGGGCCCTGGCCCCAAACCACTCGTGGGACTGGGGTGGGGTGGGCAGAGCAAGAGAGACGAGCCCCCAGGGCAGGCGGGACTCTCCTGGGGAGCGGGGACAGGCTCAGGACAAGGACAGACATTCCAGTGTGATTGAGCTATGTGCACTTGAGCTTTTTCTTTTTTTTTTTTGTGGTTGATTTTGTAGGGATTTCTTTAAAAACAAATAAATTGAGAGGTAATCATCACATAGAGATGGTTTTTCTTTTATAAAAACTTAATATTAAAAAAAGTTAAAATCTAGACCCTCCCAATAAAATAATTAAAAAAAAAACAAAACAAACAAAAATCCCACTCCAGTTAAAAGTATGGCTTCAAAGTTATTATATACCTAAGATATGGTGACCAAACCACCACCCACAACCGTGCTTCTAGACGTCGTTAAATACTACATTCAGGTTAAATATGATTCGGCTCAGGCTGCTCCCTTTAGCAGGGCCCCTGACGTGGGTACAACCTCCTACCTTCCCTCCACCATCATCAGATAATCCAGTAAAAGACCCATGCAGATGCCTCCCCCCCACGCCCTCCCCACTCCTTGTCCCCTCCCCCTCCCCCCCAAACCCACCACCACCAAAAATATACACGGCTGTTTCCAGACTCCGGGACGGGAAAGACAGATGTGACATTCTAATCCGAGCCCAAGCTCTGGGCTCCAACGCCTCGAGCCTTCCTCGATGTGCCGAGGACCGTGCCCTGGGCTGGCTCGTTTCCCACGGTGGCAGCTGCCCACACGCCCAGACTCACACCAAGATGCTTTCCCTGTCCACTCGCCCCTCCCGCACACTAGGACCCACAAGCCTCGCCTGCCACGGACAACTGGGCCAGCTTTGGCTCTGGTCTGAAACGGAGAGCAGTGCTCACCCGGGCGGGCAGAGGGCCTGTGGGAAAGGAGGAACCGTGGCTCAGAGCTCTGGGGCCGGGGCCGGGGCCAGGAGGAGACCTCTGGGCAGGGCACCAGAAAACGAGACGCTGCTCACTACTCAACAGAGGCACCAGCACGAAGACGGTATGACGAACACACCCCTGACCTGCACATGCACAGAAAGCTCAAGCAGGGAAGTACACACCTAGACACACACATGTACGTACGTGTACACACACACACACACACACACACACACACACACACGGTGGCACGGACCAGGCACCACAGGAGACACGCCTCAGCACATGCACACCTGGCTGGACAGGCAGGAGCGGGTTCTGTCCCCGCGGGCAGCCCTGCCGATGTCCGTGGAGGGTGAGCACGGGGCCAGCACTGCCTGCCAGCGGGCTGCGCTGCAGCTCCGGCCGCCTCGGCGCTGGGCTGTGCCTGGAGGAAAATCTCAGTGCTGCGCAGCACTCAGCTTCACCTGGCCCTCCAGGTGCCGTCGCCCCTCCTGGATATACCCAGGAGCACCGGGTTGGGCGGGGCTTCCCCTACAACCAGTTTGAGTTGTGGCACTGAGTTCTCACACAATTCGCTCAGAGTCTCCATGCCACGAGGAGGTAAGTATAAAAGGAATCTGTGTCTCAAACCCAACGTGGGAGTGAGCAGGTCTCCCGGGCTCGTCCCTCTTTCGGGCCAGGCTTCTGGCCAGAGGGCTGGGCAGAAACGAGAGGTAGGCCTCCGTCGTACGCTCGACATGGCAGCTCCGTGCATCCTCGCTGCTCAGGTTGCAGGCAGTGAGGGAAGCCGGTTAGATCTTCACGTCTTCCTGCACGCTGAGCTGGGAGAGGGTCTTCTTAATGCGCAGAGCGGTCAGGCGGGCCGCGCCGTTGGCGTACCAGCACTCTCGCATCATCTTCCCCATCACTCGTAGCGCCTGCAGAGACCCAGAGGCATCAATGTGACCCTGCCCGGCGGGAGTTTTTCTGGTTCCCAGGCCCCTCACTTCTCAGGGACAGTCTGCCAGGACCTCCTCTCCCCTATGAACTCAGGGAAACACTTTGCAAGCTTCCCTGTCCCCATGGCTCGCCCTTCCTCAGGGGACAGCTGTGCAGGCACACGGAGAAAGCGTCAGCAGAGAAGGAGCGCTCTGCAGCACAGCGAGCCGCTCCCCATCATCTGCGCAATCTGGAGAGAAACACCCACAACCACCTGTGGTCTGACAATCATTTCTATCAGGTTTGATAATCCTTTTTTATGATTACTGTTCTATTTTTATTTTAAAATTTTTTTTATTGGCTTTAGAGAGAGGAAAGAAGGGAGGGCAAGAGAGAAATTGATTTGTTGTTCCACTTATTTATGCATTCACTGGTTGCATTTTAAAATCTTCTTTGAATAATTTTTATTGAGAGGAACGGAGAGGGAGAGAGAAAGATAGAAACATCCAAATGATGAGAGAGAATCATTGATTGGCTGCCCCACCCTGGGGATTGAACCCGAAACTCAGGCATATACCCTGACCAGGAATTGAACTCCTGGTTAATAGGTTGATGCTCACCCACTGAACAACCCGGTCAGGCTGGTTGCTTTTTTGTATGTGTTTTGACCAGAAATCAAACCCACAATTTTGGCATATCAGGACAATGCTCTACCTGGCCAGGGCTCATCTGCCACTTTTGTTTGTTTGTTTGTTTGTTTGTTTGTTAATCTTCACCCCAGTGATATTTTTTCCATTGGTTGTTTTTTTAGAGACAGTGGAAGGGAGGGGGAGAGACAGAGACAGAGAAAGCATCGATGTGAGAAGGACACATCAATTGGTTGCCTCCTCTACATGCTCTGACCAGGCCAAGGACCAGGGATCGAGTTTGCAACCAAGGTACACGCCCTTGACAACATCGAATCCCGAACCCTTCAGTCCACAGGCTGATGCTCTGTCCACTGAACCAAACCGGTCAGGGCCACTTGCTACTGTCTAAAAGAACAGTTAGTAAGGCCCCAATGGAAACTACCCCTGAAAGCAATCCTGTCAGGGGCAGAAATAGCTCCACTGTCGTCGCCAGGATGACCCAGGTGACCACTTAAAGTCCGGCCAGGAGGGACGTGGGAGGTCACCTGAGGACCACTACTGGTGACTGAGGGCTACGAAGTTCCTCGATTGCTGCTCTAGGCCACTGTTTTTCAAAATTCCTTTTAGCAGTGGAATTTTCAGACAGGAAGAAAAATTTCCCCCCCACTTTCCTGAGTAGAGTCCCAACATTACAAACTGGTGACTGAACGGAGGGTGGAGCAGGGCAGTAAAAGCAACTCTTCCAACCTCACACTCATCCTCTGAAGTAAACCCAACCAGGGGTTCCAAGGAACATTTGGAAAATGTTGCTGTATTATGCAATGAGAGGACACCACCTAAAATGTGAACTCCTGGTAATTTTTTTGTCAATGCAGAAGCGCCCTCTAGTGGGTATATTCCTAAAAAGCAGAGCTGCCTGCCAGTAGTTGAGCAGCCAGCCACCTATGAACCAGGAGGTCAGGGCCCAGGCCTGGGTTACAGGCTCGATCCCCAGTGAGGTTGTGCAGAAGGCAGCCAATCTATGATTCTCTCTCATCATTGATGTTTTTCTCTCTCTCCCTCTCTCTTCCTCTCTGAAATAAAAATAAAATAAATAAAGCAGAGCTATGAGGAAAAAAGAGGCCCAAGTGCACTTAGCTAGGCAAACCTCCTCCTGAAGACTCTACGACCCAGAACTCCGTGTTTATTAGGAATCTGTATAATAAATTTGTCATTTCAATTCTTTCCACAAAATGCTTCCTCTTTAAAAAAAAAAATTATCGATTTCAGAGAGGAAGGGAGAAGAGAGAGAGAACATCACTGAGGAGAGAGAATCAGTCATCAGCTGCCTCCTGCACTCCCCATACTGGAGATCCAGCCTGTAACCCGGGCAGGTGCCTTGACCCGGAATCAAACCATGACCTCCTGGTTCACAGGCTGCTGTTCAACTGTTGAGCTACGCCAGTCAGGCACGTTGTTCCCTCTTCACTTCATCTGCCATTTCCCCCAAATTCCAATTCTCCACATCCTCCGCCCTTCCTCTGGATGGTTGGAAAGGCCACCTACCGCACAGACATGTACTCACTGAGTCACTTTCCAGTTAGACAGGTCTAACAGCGCCCACTAGGCTTTTGCTTCTGTCTCCTCTTGACCACCTATCTCACCTGTGTCCCCATGGCCAATTTCTTCTACTAGGCCAGTGGTCGGCAAACTGCGGCTCACGAGCCACATGCGGCTCTTTGGCCCCTTGAGTGTGGCTCCTTCCACAAAATAACATGTGCGGGCAACCACGTACAGTGTGATTGAAACTTCGTGGCCCATGCGCAGAAGTCGGTTTTCGGCTCTCAAAAGAAGTTTCAATCGTCCTGTTGATATTTGGCTCTGTTGACGAATGAGTTTGCCGACCACTGTACTAGGCTGTGGATTCCAAAGGGGACTTAGTATCTTATAGCACAGTGGTATATCGTAACAGACACACTCAGGGGCTGGACCCACTGTCAGGTAAGGTAGAAAAACCACGAGACGGAAAAGCAGCAGGAGGCGGGGGGGCTTCCTACCTCATAACTCTGCCACCAGTTGGGGATGTTGGGCCGCAGCTTCTGGTCGCACACGACCTTACGCATTTCCTCAATGGAAGGGTCAGAGGGCACTAAGTCATAATACGGCAGCTGGTATTCTTCATGGACTCCTGGAAGAAAAGGAAATGTCCACTGAGTTGCCGGCAGGAGGAGGAGATGACTCAGACTCCAATAAGAACAAGCACACTGTGGCCTGCACACACCACGTCCCACGGGTGGGAATGGGCTCCGAGGAGAGCTCGCTGGATCTAGGGATGGGACAGGAGGTACAGACGATTAGCCAGAAACATCTCTTTCATCCCAAAAAGCAAGAACACTATCAAAGACTACTGAGGTCAAGCTGACAGGCACCAACTTGAAAAGCTCCCAATTAGTAAAAGATGAGAACATTTATGCAACAGTAAGAATAATAACTTTAATGGAGACAAATATTTAAAATCCACCAATTCAAAAAAAAAAAAATTCTTCCAGTTCATACTTAAATGAAACAACAAAACCCTCAAAATCATGGTCACCTTTGTAAGATGATAGGTAACAAAACTTCTTATTTTGATAAATGGAAATCCAGTATTTTTCCTGGCTTTCCTATTCAAACTAGACACCTTGTTATGATCATCGATGGCTGTTAACATCACAGAAACAGAGTTACCAGCACCATATGCCTTGTAACTAAAGAACTTTTTTTGGGAAAAAATCTGATTGTAGTCATTAAATGTAACTATCACAGAAAAGTCACATGAACTCCATGAAGAGACAAACAGGAAAATTTATAGGACAAATGACTGGATTCTCCAATTAAAAAAACCATGGGGGAATAAATGGAGGTGAAACCTATCTATATATATAAAAGCCAAGTGACCGGAACAACAGAACGACTGAACAACCAGAAGGACCACCCACTATGACATGCACTGTGACAGCCAATTGACCTGATCAGGGCCCTGATCAGCACCCCAACCCCAATAGGGGGCGGGACTGGCCAGCCAACCTCCTGTGGCCCTTCCCCCTGGCCAGCCTGGCCCCCAATTGCCCCCGCATTGGGCAGGCTGGCCAGATCCCACCTGTGCACGAATTAGTGCACTGGGACTCTAGTAGATTATAAGAGACTTAAGCAATGCATCATTCAACAGCAACAAATAAACATTAACCCTAATTTTGAACAAACTGTTCAGGAGAAAATTGGGGAAATAGCAACACTGACTGATGTAAATGATATTAAGAATTAATGTTCATTTAAAAAAGTGTGATGAGTAATATTTTTGGAAATCAGAAATATTTTCCATAATAAAAATTTAATTTAAAAAATCCAATGTGTCCTAATCAGTTTGGCTCAGTGGATAGAATGTCAGCCTGTGAACTGAAGGATCCCAGGCTCAATCCCCAGTGGGGGGCATGCTGGAGGCAGCCAATCAATGATTCTCTCCCCTTATTGATTTCTATCTCTCTCCCCCCTTCCCTTCCTCTCTGAAATCAATAAAAATATATTTTAAAAAATACCATGTAACTTTCTCATGCCTTTTTCCAGAAAAAATTCTGCTATCTGGAGCTAACAGGAGACTTTTAAATAGAGTCCAGCCCGGCCAGTGTTGCTCAGTGGTTGAGCATCAACCTAAGAATCAGGAGATCAAGTTTGATTTCCAGTAAGGGCACATGCTCCAGCAGTGAGATTAGTCCCCAGGGTGGAGTGTGGAGGCAGCTGATCAATGATTCTTATCACTGATGGTTCTCTCTCTTCCTTTTCCCTTCCTCTATGAAATAAAAAACAAACAAACAAACAAAAAAACCCAATAGAGTTGACTTGGTAGTTATTTCAGGGGTAGTTAAGAGCTTGAGCTCTGACCTCAACTTACCACAGGGTGAATCCTAGTTTATCAGCCACATGATCTTAGACAAATTAGCTAATCTATGACTCATTTTCTTCATCTGCAAAATGGTGACAATATTAGTACCCACTCTACAGGTTTATAATAAAGATTAAACTAATTTATACATAGAAGGGGTAAATATTAGCATTATTTTTATTATACACTTAGCTCCAATTTCTGGATGATATGAGAAAGAACAAGTTCAGTTACTCAGTTTAAGATCTGTGTGACCAGATTTTCTTAATCTGTTTTCTATATAAGGATCAAAATTTTAGAAGTACAATTCTATGAATATCTGGGTGCCTTCTCCATAATTTGGATCTTACCAAAAATATTATAGACAGAAAAAAACTAACACAGAAAGGGGTCTAGCTGAAAGACTCACCAGTTCTTTTTAATTCATTTCATTTCATTCCCGACTGGAATTTCTTAGAGATAGGTGGCTGAGGGCAGGGGTCTAGTGGTTCTTGAACTTGAGGGCAGCATACTTAAAAGTCATTGTAAAATACTGACATACTAAGCTGATGACAAAAATGTTCTCAGCTAAACCTGACACTACCCTTTACTTGATTCTGACATGAGTGAGCAGTAGCAAATTCCAAAGATTTAAGAAAAAGTACAAGAGAAAAACTCATTTTGAGAGAACTCTACACACTGGTAAGCTTTGTCCTACAAATTGAGAAATTACCACTATTAATGTCAGTGAAACCCATGTTCCCCAGGAGCGCAGCCTAAGAGCCGGTGTGCTGGCATACGCCTCCTGTACAAAGAAGACCCTGCAGTAGTCTCACGCTATTCCTGCCGGGGACTTTCGCAAGCTCCAGGACCAGTAAGAACAATCTGTTTAAAATTTTTAAAAAGCCAAACAGGCCTCCAGAATGTTTACCACAATGTAAAACACCATTTTGGGAGCTGTTCCAAAAAGTAAACAAACCCTCAGCACAGCTACCTCCAAGGTTCCCTCATATTTGATGAGAACGCTGTGATTGATAGCGTCTGTCACTAGGCATCTGACAGGTTGTAAAAAGAAAGGAGGCAGTAGAACACCAACATCCTCCGGTGATCAGCATCCTAGACTGGAGGCAGGAGCAAGAAAAGGCAGAAGAGAAAAGTACCTCCAGAATTGCATCTTCGAGCAATCTCCCAATACACAAGCCCGAGGGCATAGATGTCAGCACATTTAAAGGAGTCAAAGTGCTTCATGTTAATGGTTTCATCAAGCACTTCAGGGGCCATGTATCTGCAACAGCAAAGGAAACAGGATCATGCACAGAAGAGATGACTTCTCTCCTTCAATCGAAGCACTGACTCAAGGCCTCAGAATGTGGGCATCACCCAAAAAAGCCCCTTGGGGATGAGGAACTGATCAATGTTTTTATTGGAAACCCCCATGTTTTGGATTCAAATATAAATTCTTCAGCATAGTTTTGGGAAACAGCATAGGCTACTCTTACTCGTACCTCTGCTTTTTAACATCAAGATTTATTTTTAGCATGTTTCAATTTCTTGGCAGAGGTATTTGTACTGTGGGTCACAGGGATATATATATATATATATATATATATATAGATATAGATATAGATATAGATATAGATATAGATATAGATATATAGATATATAGATATATAGATATATATAGATATATATATAGTTGCTACTGGGGTCTTGGACTTAATTAAATGTAGCCACAGTGACGGATTGCGCTTAAATTTCATTCTTTACTTCTTTATCTTATCTTACCTGGTTTTAGATAATGTGAAAATTATTCTAGATAGTCATCGAAGTCCCTCTCAGCTAATTAATACTACTTCTCTCTCTCTCTCTCTCTCTCTCTCTCACACACACACACACACACACACACACACGTGCGCGCGCGTGTAAATGAGGGGTCACCTCAGGCCTCACATTTGGATCCTGGGTCATTCATTCATTCAGGTCAAAGGGGAGGGAAAAGCAACAAAACAACTTAGTCAAGTTCCCTGAGATTCAACCGGTCAGCAGACCCTCTCTGGCTTTCTCCTGCACAACGAGGAAGGGCACACATGGACCACTCAGGACGGGCAGAGGGCAAAGGCAGAGGCCCAGGGCCTTCCTACCGTTTGGTGCCCACCCTCTGGTTCGGGGCGATGTCGATGGTGTCAGTGACGGCGTCGTGGCGCACGGCCAGCCCCAGGTCTGCGATGGCACACATGCCGTTTTTCTTCACAAGGATGTTCTTCGACTTTAAGTCTCGATGAGCAATCCCAGGCTTCCCTGGCAGAGGAAAAACAGGGACCTTTACAGAAAGGCAGTAAAAATGTCACAAGCAAGCGTCTACACAGCCAGACTGAATGTTAGGAAGGTCGCCTGAGTTTGAGTCCTGGCTTTGACTCCCACTAACCCAGTAACCCTGGGAAAGGGACTTAAGCCAACCGTAAGGACTAACCCAGGACTGACTGCATGGACATGTTTCGAGGAGAAATGCATTAACGTAGGTGAGTGCTGAGTGCAGACGGGCATGCGTGATAGATGCTATTACTATGACGACTGCTCCTGCCCGCCCTCCCTGAGCCAACATGTGCCGGCGCTCGAAGTGCAGAGAACTCGAAGAAAAGCGGCTGTGTGGCTAGGTCTCCGGTCAGACAAAATCCCCCGCCCATTAGTAAGGACTGCTGACACCTGGCAGCGGCTAAGAACGGGACCAAACCTTAACGGCTGGCTTTCTGTTGTGGCCAGCAAGTGCTGTTGCCCTGGTCAGCGAGGCATCAGGGAACACACTCTGCCACCGTGACAAAATCCAGGATTTCCTAAAGCGCTGACATTACAGCCAACAACAGGGATGCCTCCAGAAAAAGCTTCCTAGTCTAGGGAAGCCCAGGGTCTAATCCACATGTGTCAAACACAAGGCCCGCGGGCCAAATCCGTCCCACCAGGCCTTGCAATGTGGCCCGAACCGCGCTGTCATCACTGCACTCCGCTGCGTTTCCATCACAATGACAGTTTATGACTGTTCAGTAAACCATTCGGCCCGCGATTTAGGCTGGATTTTAGATTTTGGCCCCTTCTCTGATTGAGTTCGACACCCCTAGTCTAATCCACCAAGCAGTCTTTCAGCCCCAACAATGAATGTGTGAAATTACTAAACTGATGCTCCCGTCACAGAGTCTGTTGAACCCTCTGAGTTCCTGTGCACTGTGGACTTCTGAGGTGATTCCTCAGCGAACACTAGCTCACCCACCAACACTGTGCCAGGCCAAGAAATGGCCAGTTCCTGCCCTTTCCCACGAGAGCCTCCGGGGGAGTGCTGGAGGCAGGCGGGCAGAAGCCTGGAGATCCTCTTGTGCGCGCTCAAGTCAAGCCCAAAGCCCCCTCCTTTATTTTATTTTTTTAAAAAATATATTTTATTGATTTTTCACAGAGAGGAAGAGAGAGGGATAGAGAGTTAGAAACATCGATGAGAGAGAATCATCGACCAGCTGCCTCTTGCACCCCCCTACTGAGGATGTGCCCGCAACCAAGGTACATGCCCTTGACCAGAATCGAACCCAGGACCTTTCAGTTCGCAGGCCGATGCTCTATCCACTGAGCCAAACAGGTGCCGGCCAAAGCCCCCTCCTTTAGATTAGACGACAGTACCTGGGGTCCAGCCCCAGCTTTCTCAGTAAAAAGGTGACCGGGGACCAGATCAGGATGGTACAAGCTTTTTAAAAAATATATATATTTTATTGATTTTTCACAGAGAGGAAGAGAGAGGGACAGAGAGTTAGAAACATCGATGAGAGAGAATCATCGATCAGCTGCCTCCTGCTCAGCCCCCACTGGGGATGTGCCCGAAACCAAGGCACATGCCCTTGACCGGAATCAAACCTGGGACCCTTCAGTCCGCAGGCCGACACTTTATCCACTGAGCCAAACCAGTCCCGGCTGGTACAAGCTTTTATTTATTTTTTTTATTTATTTATTTTTTTAAATATATTTTATTGATTTTGTACAGAGAGGAAGGGAGAGAGATAGAGAGATAGAAACATCGATGAGAGAGAGTCATCGATTAGCTGCCTCTTGCACACCCCCTACTGGGGATATGCCCGCAGCCAAGGTACATGCCCTTGACCGGAATCGAACCCGGGTCCCTTCAGTCCGCAGGCCGACACTTTATCCACTGAGCCAAACCGGTCCCGGCTGGTACAAGCTTTTAAAGTCAACTCAGCATCACTGCCCCTCGGCGGGGTGCACTCACCTTGGGTGCCCACGATCTCCATGTGCAGGTGCGCCAGCCCACTGGCAGCAGACAAGGCCAGCTTGATCATCCCCTCGATCGTCACCGTGTACCGGTTAAGATAATCGAACAGGGAGCCGTGCTCATGGTAGTCCGAGACGAGCCACAGCTGTGTCCAGGTGCCATTATCTGCAGAGAACCACAGAAGAGTTCCACAACCAGGTAAGGTAAGAAGCACAGCCGCAGAGGTTACAGCAGGAACGGAAGATGTGTGGGACATGGGCTCCATTGCTCCCAACTCCCACCTCTCGCCTCCACACCTCCGAGGCCCTCTCTGCACCCTTCATCTGCGGGTGTCTACCAGTTTCGGGCTCAGGGAGGCCGGGAGAACAGCATTTCTTTCTCAGACCTGCTCCCTTACTTCTCGTAGGAGGCTGTCGGGTTCTGGAAAGCATGCCACTGTAACCCCAAATTTGAAGCGCGAGGCCTCCAGAAGAGGAAGCCTGTGCTCAGAGAGAGTAACGCTGCTTTGACCCTGAGGAGATCGCTCATCTGCGTTAGCAACCACGACCGGCTGGCCCACCAGCGCCCAGAGGGCGGCCTCGCAGGTCCTCTCCGCGGCAAGACCCTTTTTCAGAAACGGAACTTATTGTGGTAACATGTGTTAGTAAAATTATATAGGTTCCAGTGTGCAATTCTGTAACACATCACCTGGAATATCGCATTGTGCGCTCAAGTCTCCTTAAATCACCAGTTACCTCCCCTCCTCCATAACCTCCTCTACCTTCCCCCACCCCAGTCTCCAAGACCCTGGGCCCAGCCCCAGCACCTGTCTCATTTGTAGCATTTCTTCCCCTAAATCCATTGCTCTTTCCAGGTTATGAGCTCTGAGTAGGAAAGGGCTCCTTTGTGCATTATTGTATCTCAGGCCAAACAACTTTTCAGGGCATGACGAGCACAGAGGCCCAAGTACTCCAGAGGTCACCTCGCCCTCAGAAGGGCAATGGAAGGTGCAGAGCACACTCTTACACATTGTGGGGGTGGGGATGTGCAGGGGAGAGGAGGGGGAGAAAAAGTAAAACCAAAAGCTGTCAATCTAATTGGGTTATGCTGTAGTTGAAAAGTGAAAATTGGATTGAGATCTTCTAAATTCCAGGCCAGTGCTAGTTCCAGGACCCTACGCTGCACTACATATCGTGTTAAAAGGCAAGTCAGGCTGAAACCGGTTTGGCTCAGTAAATAGACCATCGGGTCTGTGGACTGAGGGGTCTCAGGTTCGATTCTGGGCAAGGGCATGTACATTTGTCCCGGGCACATTCCCGGTGGGGTGTGCAGGAGGCAGTTGGTCGATGATTCTCTCTCATCATTGATGTTTTCAGCTTTCTACCCATGTCCCTTCCTCTCTCTAAAAAAAAATCAATAAAATAGGCAAGTCAGAGGAGTCCCATTTTCCTTTCCTCTGGTCCAATGTGGCTTCGACAGCCAGGCCAGGCCCGATTCACACAGCTGCCAGATCCATCAGCACTAGTTTTAGCTTCTCCGAACAGGGGTCCACTCAACACACCCTTACACGCCAACCAGCCCCCAAGACTTGAGGACCCTGCCAGTAAGTCAAAAGGAAAGACATCTTTTGATCCTTTAAAATATATGTAAGATTTAAATTTTATTCTAAGGCGATGTTGTTTCATTCAGAAGGAGTAAAAAATTCTCTCCCGCTTTTTCCCTTGTGTATGAAACCAAGACTCTTAGCTGAGATCACTACCCACTCCCACAGCAATGTGAGGCATGACGGCCTGCTGCTGTCTGAGGAAGGAAACATAAACACTAGCATCTTCCGCAGGCTGTGTAGACACTAACTTCTAAAAATCGCTGTGCCCTGGAACAAACTGTGTCACAACGGCCAGGAGATTCCCAAACGGTCAAGCCCACGGCCTCATGGTCTTTGACTCCAAGTGGACGGACTACCGCCCCGTGTGTCTGCCGTCCCCTCTTCCCAGGGCTGTGAGGGTGGAGACTGGGTCTTGTTCTTAGGTGCGATGATCCAAGCAGCTGGCAGAGGTCCTGCCCATCGTTGTCAATAGATGTTGTTGAATCAATGAATGAAATTTCAGTTACCGCCCACTATCTCATAAAAAAAAAAAAAATACACTCCTTTCAAAAAGGCCCTCACATCTGGCCTCCGTGACCTCACCACGTCTTCTGCTGTAACAGCCATCCCAAGTTACCTGCCGGTTCCCAAACACACTTCACCCTGCTCACCTGTCTGGAGTGAGCCTTCCACCGGTCCTGCTTTCTGACCAGCTCCTGCACCTTCACCTCCATCTAGCTCAGGTGTACTTGGGCCTCTGTGCACTTCTCACCCCGACTGTGCTCACTACAACAGTGTTACCTGATCACATCCTATAATAAACCATTATTTTATCCCTTTGTAGTGAATGAGCTCCTCAAAAATGACAATGTGCCTGGTCACCCAAGAGAGACTCAAAAACAAAAGCAAACAGGAGCGAGGAGGAGGAGGAGGAAATAAGGGGCCTCAGAAATAAGTGGGCCCAAAGCTGAGTCTGAAAGGCACGAGGTAGCACTCTGGGGGCAGGCAGGTCACTGCTTTGCTGCAAAACTGTGCCTGCTGCTGGGGTGTCACAGAATGTGGACGACGTGCTTTCCTGGGGCCATCCCTTCCTGGCAGGAGCTGAGGCCACAGTTCTTCCCGCCAGTTTTATCCAAGTTAAACTGCCTGGGGCCCCTCAGGGACTACCCTCAGGGGAGTGAGGGGAGGTCTGAGAGTGTCTTGGAAGGGAAGTGAGCAGGAGGGGCAAGAGCTTTATCCCGTTTACCTGTTAAACACTGCTTACTTTCTTGCTAAGTAACCTGGGCTTCTACATGAGATTTTTGTAGAGAAAAGTTTGAAAATTATTATCCTACTAGAAGCCTGGTACACAAAATTCGTGCACGGGGCAGGGGGGCCCCTCAGACCAGCCTGCACCTTCTCCAATCCGGGACCCCTCAGGGGATGTCCGACTGCTGGTTTAGGCCCAATCCTGGGTATCAGGCCTAAACTGGCAGTCGGGCATCCCTCTCACAATCTGGGACCACTGGCTCCTAACTATTCACCTGCCTGTCTGCCTGATCATCCCTAACCACCTCTGCCTACCAGCCTGATCGCCCCTAACTGCCCACCCCCCTTCTGTCCCCCCTGCTGACCTGGTCGCCCCACGACGGTGTCCTGGACAATTTGCACAGTCCTCTATTAGTAGTATAGATTTAGATTCTCTATGGATAGTAATTATGAAGGCAAACAGCCGTGCTGGCCAGTCACCCCTCTGACTGGTGCCATGGTTGGCTTTAGGACACGCTGTCTCGACACCCAGCCCTTTCTTTACCTTTATTGTCAGCAGCAATAAATCCGAGGATGTTCTCGTGACGCAGCATGACTGTCTGGTATATCTCCGCTTCCCGGAACCAAGACCGTTCTTCACGAGAAGAGAAGATCTTCACAGCCACGTCGCCCCCTCTCCAGCGGCCGCGCCACACCTCTCCGAACCGGCCCTTGCCAATGATCTCCTGTAGGACGATGGTCCTGGCCACTGTGCGCTGGACGAAGAGCGGTAACCCTGAGGACAAAGGGTGGAAGGAAGCACGCTGTCACTCTGCTGGGCTCTGTAACGCCGCTCACACTGCCCCACCGGAGAGGTCCTCATCACTGTGCCCCAGGCCACACCGTGCCCTGTCCATGGAGAGCTGTGGCTGCCCCTGCACCACATTCAGGTAACCCACCAGAAGACTAAGCCAGGCAGCGCCTGAGAGTGAACTCAGAAAGGCAAATGCAAAGGATCAGCTGTTCCTAAGCATTTATTCTCTCAGTGAGCAGATTAAAATCAGGGTGACAGATTTTAATATAAACATCTGACCAGATTTGTCAGCTCTGTAACCAGCCACCTGTGGGCCAATCCATCCACATCCACCTTATGCAGATGAACAGGAAAAAGGACAGAAAAGATGCAAGTGAGGCCTTGAGCACTGGGAGCACCTTCTGGCTGCTCTGCTCACTTGCCACTAGAGGGCAGTGCTGCGTGGCCCATGAAATCCAAATTGTGGTCAGGGCATATAAGGATCTAGAGATCAAAGTTCTGCTCACAGGTGGAGCTCCAGATGCAGAATGGGAGACTACCCATGCTTATTCTAAGATTAATTTTATTGTCTTTCTAGAACTCATTTATTGCCTCATTTGACTCATTCAATGTCTCCCTATCTAACCAATCCACCCCTACCATCATGACTAACTCTTAACTCTCTCATTTACTCTCCCTGACCAAATAAAAAAATGTTATTAATCCCTAACTCTTGTAGGTATAAGTGACCATTTTACTGTATGCTTTAGGCACTATGTTAAGGGCTTAACATAAATTATCTTATTTCCTCACAAATACCTCTAAGGTGGGCATTTTTATTATCCCCATTTTACAGATGAGAAAACTGAGGCCCAAATGCATATAAGTGGCAATACAGGAATTAAAACCTAGGACTGTCTGACTCTAAAGTTCATGCTTTTAACTATATGCAGTATAGAGACAGCAAAATGTTTCTCAAATTAGACCCCTACTCCCATCTTCTCTGTGCCAGTCCTAGTTCAGGCCCTTCTTTAAAACACTTCCAACTGGTCTTTCTGCCTCCCATCTCACCCTGCTCCTGCCCTGCAACCCACACACAGCCTCACCAAACCCTGCCCTCTCACAGGAGGTTGGCAAACGAACGAATTGATCCTTCACTACACTGCCAGAACACCTTCCACAGGAAACGGTTCAGCAGATGCCTCTGATCTTGCCAGAAAGAGCACAGCACCGAAGGTCCTTCCCTCCTGGTCAGCCTGTCCCTTCCCACCCCCAGCGTGGCCACACCACGCCGAACTCTCTGTCATTCTCCAAACACCCGGTGAAGGTTCATGCCTTTTTGTCCTTTTGCTCAAGACATTTTCTTTGGCCTGGAATGTTCCCTGTCCTCTCATTTCCCTTAAAACGTCAAATTCAGTGTTCAAGACCCCTTTGCATGCACCCCCTCTGGAGGACCTTTCCCAGCCATCTCCATCTCTTATTCAGCTTTGGCTCAGCTTTCCTTCTTATCGTGATTCATCCTGTATCATACATGTTCCATATGTATTTGTTCATGTGAACTGACAGTCACGTAAGAGCAAGGACTTATTCGCTTTAAATCCACAGATTAAGACTCCAACACCGTGGAAGCGCTGCATGTTCCGAATTAAGAATGGACTAAACCATCCAGAGAGAAATGGTTACCAATCACTCCACTCCAGCTGACTACCACCACACACCTTCCAGAGCCTCAGCTGGACTCTGAAAACCGAGCTACCTCCTCTGACGGCAAATCACGTCACAGGCAGTCAAGGAAGTTCTAACCACTGCCCTTCCTCCTCATCAAAGAACAGGCCATCTATTTTCTCTCTTCCTAAATGTATACAGCTTTTAATACATCCATCATTTTGGCACACTCTACTGCAGAGCTTAATAAAGGCAAAACCACTAAAATTCAAGAGATGTCAATGTATTCCTTGTGTTCAAGGAGAAATGTCTGGCTATGACTGACGGTATAATTTCCCTATAGAACAGTCTTGTCACATGGCAAAAATAAAAATAAAAATACACCACATAAACACAAGTTCTCACAAATATGATTCTGTATGTTTTAGTTACAATGGCAACAATGATTTTTGTGATTTATTTTTTTACAAGAACAGAATACCATCATCACTAAAATAATTGTTTATCTTCATACTAATCTCTAATAGCTAGCTGAGCTATATACCCTGAGACCCGACCAATCCAATTCCCTTTTGCCAATCCTGGTCTGAGGACAAGGCCCAGTGTTTGGTTCGATTCCCTCATCTAAGGAAGACTCGGTGACCAACAGGCAGGACGAGAAACGGAGCTGACACCGGCTGGAAGCCCAAGCTGCTTTTATTTACCGCATGAAAACCCCTGGGCAACCGGGACAAGTCAATGATTCACCAAACCCAGCGCTCAGCTTCACTCAGTGTCCTTAAACTCCCCTTGTGGCTGCTCAGAGATCAATGATTAGCTGCCACCACCTCCCAGGAACACGGCACACTCCTGTTTCTCAAAAGGGGCCCTTAAATCGAGCAGCCGGCCGCTCAGGCGGAACCAGGTGAATTTTAATAGATGTATGGTTACAGAGCTTGGAGAGAGGCAGCGTTTCTGGAAGAGAGAGTTCTGCACTTGACCTTTGGAATCCTAGGGAACGAAAGGTTTTCTGTGACCCCCTTATCTCATTACATGTCAGACTCCACAAGAAGGGGAAGTATGAAACCAAAAGACTCGGTGCTGCTAGAAACAAGCGTGAGGCCCGGCTCTCCTCATGCGCGCTCTCTCCTGCCGGGAAGCGGTGCCGAAGGCCAACCACACACACAAGGCCGGAAGAGCCGGTACCTGAGCCAGACCCCGACGTGGAGAGATCGTAGACGAGATCTTGGAGCGTCTTGTCTTTGGACAGGCACATCTCACACGAGGGATCTTCCATGTCCAGCCTCTGGCGGTTGTGATAGACACGCTGATGATAGTTAATGACGAGGAAAACGATGATGATGATGAGAAACAGGAGGAACACGGGGCCGGCAATGATGCCGACCAGCTCCACGGGGCCCCACATGGAAGGGTGCTCAGGCGGCTCCTTGAGGTGCCCTGAGGGGAAAGAACAAAGAGTAAAAACAAGGGAGGGCACTGGCCTCCTTTATCCCACCTCCTCTGAGTGGATGCCCTTTCCCTCCCCACACGCCCAGGCATGCCTGACCTCTCCAGTCTCACTGGGGTGTCTGTCTGCTCTCAAATGCAAACTCTCTAGTGCCCTTTGCAGCAGTCAAATCCATAACCCACTTTGTCATTTATGGTACTTTTCCCAGGCAGATGCCAAGCTCTGCTCCTGCCTCCTCGGTGATGCCTGCTAAACCGCAGGCCTGCAGGGGGGTGAGATCTAACACTTCCCAGCCTTGATCACTGCCTGCTTTGCCCCACTGTAGCCCCTCTTTCCATTATTGCCTTTACCCCACCTCAAAAGCTCCCTTCCTGAGGCTCTGGGATTGTTTCCTTCGGAATCAGCCCCGTACCCTTCTCCCCTCCCCCACACCCTCCTCCCCTCGCCCGTCCTTGCCTGGTTCTCCCACTTGGCCTCCATCCAAAATGCAGCTTTCACCTCTGGGACCAATTTGGCAATAATCTGTCTCCCTCATCCTCTAATCTACAAACCTGATGTGGGAGCAATCCCATCCCTTGTCACCTTAGGGAACTTCAAAAAGTTTACCTATCACCAAACCAAGGGACTGGGAAGCACAGAGAAGGATGAAATGACAGGGTGCCCTCTCCCCAAGATGAGCCCACAGGCCCGCAGGGCGTCCGCTCACCGCTGGGCACCCTCAGGTCGATCTTGTTGCAGAAGTCGGTGTAGCAGCAGTGGGTGTTGCGCAGGTCCTCGGAGCTCAGGCAGTAGAAGGGCTTCCCGGCGGGGACCAGCTCCTCTTTGGGGATGCAGGTGCGCACATGGTGCTCCATCCCGTCCAGGTTGAAGATGGAAACCATGCAGGCCCCATCCGTTTCACACGTGTAGTTGGCCTGTAGGCAGTTGGTGCATGTACACAGCAGAGCTGCAGGAAATTTGGGAGTAGACATTGGCATCACAGATTAGATCTTATCCGAGGTCCTTTCACAGACTTAGAATAGCATTCCTTAGCATCCTTAATGTTCCAAAGTAAGGAGCTTTTATAGAGATTGGGTCAGAAAGATGGTATCGTCAATGGAGACACAACCTTTCACCTGTTTATTCAGCTCACAAACAAGACTTTCTAGGCCCCACCACTTTCCTCTCGGTGCTCTATTTTATGCCTCTGAGACACAGGGAGACTGCCTTTTGAACTTTGCCTTAGACTTAATACAGATAATTTTGTGACCGGGAAAGACCTTTTTCTTTAAATTTAGACACCTAGTCTCCTGAATGCAGTCAGTATGCATGCTCTCATATAATCTTTTGCTGCAATGCTCTTTTTCCTGGCCAATTCTTACAAATCCTTTAAAATTCAGCTCAAACATCACTTTCTTTGAAAAGCTTCCCCTGCCGTCGTGGCTGGGTGGCATCATCCTGTGCACCAAAGGCTAAGGGTTCATCCCGGTCAGGGTGCTGCAGGAGGCAACTGATAGATGTTTCTCACATTGATGTCTCTCTCTCTCTCTCTCTCTCTCTCTCTCTCTCTCACACACACACACACACACACACACATCAATAAACATATCCTTAGGTGAGGATTTAAAAAAAAAGAAAAGCTTCCCCTGACTGTTTAGCATCCTCTTCCTTTAGTCCAAGTCAAGCACCTCTCTCACGAGGGGCAGAAACAATGTCAAAAGAAGATAATATCAGTGGCTACCTCATAAAATTATAGCGAAGGTTAAATGAGCTAATGCACAAAAAGCACTCGATGTGTTTTACCCATTCTGAAAGGTCTCAGGATATCACTTTAAAGAGTAATATATAAACCCCCCCCCAAAAAAAAAGAAAAAATTAGGTAGTGTATGCCATTATCTCTGGGCCTAGAGAGTTTAGCTGGATGTGTAGTATACAATAAGTGTAGACTATTGACAGGAAATTACTGTAAGTGAGTTTGTGCCTCTGAAAGCCAGTTCAGCAGCCCTGGAGTCTGAACTCCTTAATTTATCTGTCAGGAATAGCTCAGACAGCAGCAGTTGGTTCTGCCCAGCACTGTCGCCCAGGAGCCTAACCGAGCTCTGACCCCTTGGGAGGGGCAGGAGTGTGGCTTTAGTCACTACAATGCTTAGGCTGGGACTCACAGTGCTGAACCGAGCACCGGCCCATCAGGGGATGGAGGTGGCAGGCCCCCAGATCCCGGCTAGACACTAGGTGGATACTACCTGGACACAGACTGGGCCCCTAGAGAAGAGACACATATGACCAGTCCCATGAAAACCTAGCCTGTTGTAACTCACCCCGTTAGGCTGTCAACAGTTTATCTTTGTCTCTTTCTCCAATGCAATGGGAGGCACCTCTTGGCTTTCAAATCCAAAGACAGATTCTAAATATCTCAGAGTCACACCCCTCCTTTCTCAGGCTCCATCCCTTGCCGTCCCGGCCAAGGAAACAAGGGAGACAGCACTGACAGGTAAACAGCAGCACGGCCTGTGGTTATTTTCTTCACAGCATCTGATCAGATCGCTTTCTGCTGGGAGGAATTCCAGGACATGTAGCTGCCTGCTGAGGCTTGGGCCCGTGCTACGTTCTGAAAGGCAGGAAGTTTAAAGCAGGTACTCTTCGGGCTACATTCCAAATCTAGAAGGAATTTTAAAAGGAAGTGCCTCCAAAACTTCAATTCCAACCCTTCTAGACACAAGAAAGACTAAGAACCTTCTCCATTTTCCCTCCCAAATACCTTTATTTGCTCCCTCTTTTATTCCTCTTGTTAACAAAATTACTTCTGTGACCTTCCGAATGCTCAATTCAAATCTCTTTTACTCAGGCTGCCGTCCTGTTACTTCAGGGAAGCCAACAGTCACTCCTTTTGTCAGTGGGGACATTCAAGCACAAAAGGGGTTCCCTGTGGAGTGAACTCCCCTCAATGCATGCGCCAGGCCATCCAGCGAAGAGAACAGCATTGGGTCTATTTTGGGAAGCGAGAAGGGAAAGCGAACAACTCCAAGAGGGCTATTCTGAGCTCCCTGGGACACACAGGCCAGACCCGCAGCCGCCTTTTGAAAAAAGCTCACTTCAGAGTCGTCGATTGGGAGCCAGGAGTCTCTGATTCCAGATACTTATCCTCCTTTCATTGGTTCCTGGCCCCTTTCGAGGGCGGTGACTCATCCTGGAGAGGAGCACACCCACACGTGGCTCATTATTTTTGGGAAGTACTTAACCAATCTTGGTGTAAGACAGGAAAGAACAAAAGTGGTGAAATCTATGCTAGACTGGACGAAGACCGGAATTGGGAGCAGGGCCTTTTGGGTTTGCGATAAGGAATTGAGCAAGTCCCTGAATCTTTCTGGGCCTTGGCTGCCCAACCAAAAAATGCCATTTATCTTACAGAAATGGTATAAAGATTAGCCAAACACCCGTTGAGTGCTGTGGGTACTCTGAGAAAGCTCCTCTCTGCACCCATCTGTGTAGTCTATGTGTTTTACAATGAGTGACAAGTCTGAAAAAGATCTATTTCTAATGTAACCACCACTACTGCCCGCACCCCTGGAAAGGTTTCCGTTCTTATCGCTGGAGCTGCGCAGGGCATCACAGCAGGAAGCGGGTCAGAAAGACCTGGCTCAAATACCAGCTCTGATATTAATCACATGACCTTGAGCAAGTGAGGAACCCTCATGCACCCTGGATTCCTAATCTGTAAAGTGGAACTGTTAGTAATTATGTCACAGGCTAGGTAAGAATTCAATGAAATTAAAAAGTGCTTACCAAAGAGATGCTCAATAAATTTTAATCCTAACTCTCAATGTAAAACTCAAACACACTTAACATTTGTCTCTTTATCCGTTCATTGGGGAGTGGCAAGTTAAAGCAAGACCACAGCACCAAGTGCTGCTGGAGCCTCAGCTCTGCCAGTGAGTGAGTCGCGTGGCATTGGGCAAGTCACTTAACCTCTCTGAACCTCATTTTCCTCGTGATTAACCAGAAAGAAGAGGCGGGACTAGGTGACCTCTAAACCCTCCAGCTGGAATGAGAATCCAGTTTATTTCTAAATTCCACATTGTTTGCCTCACTGATCCAACACTGGGAAGTTCTGCTTTAAGTTTTATATACCTTATCCTGAACTTTAAAGGCAGACATTCTGTAAATATTCATTTTTCACTAAAACAAAGTGATAATAAAATTACACAAACATCTGAATTTACTATAAATCACAAACCTAATTTCAATGTTTTTGAAAAGCTAAATCTGGATTGAGGATAACAGCCTTTATAATGTTTCATATTGACTCATCAAGTTAAATCAGTCTACACACGTGAATATAAACAACACATATCTAACAGTAACGTAGTTGAAATAACACAATTAGGAAAACCAATCACAGAGGAGTAACAAAATCATTCTACACACAAACAAGTTAACAAGGGGTAGGAACAAAATTCCCACTAGCACAGAATTTTGTTATGAACAAGCTAGTCAAACCTGAACTAAAAAGGCAAAACCGCTTTGGCAGGATTTGAACATAAGGTTCCAAAGTATGGTGAGAAGGTGGTTTGTGGTAAGAAATGAATGCAGATTTGATTGTGAGCGAGGCTGTGTTTTGAGGAAGGCTGATGAAGGCTGACAAGCCCCCGCCTGGGCAGATTGGGCCTGGCTTCGGGCTGTGGAGGCACTAACACAGCCAGGCCCAAGACAGACTCACCACAGGCAGGACCCCGGTTCGGTGCCCTCTGTGAACACTGGGAGTTCCTCAGAACCACTCACCCAGTATCAGGCCTGAGACCATATCACCAGGGGACACAGTGTAGGTGGTGGCACAAACCTCAAAAGGTAAGAGGCATACAGAAAAACAGGCACGTCTGTCCTGGGAGATAAAGGTTTGTGAATATTCTAACATGTTTTAAAGCTACAGTGTTTATGATTTGTAGCTTATGTTAAGTGCATCTTGGAGATAAGTTACATCAAATTAGTTCCTGGGTGGCGTGCTGTCCTGTTTAACAAGCACAGTACCATTGCCACTTCAGACTTCACCAGACAACCCCCTCCTCCTAGCGCATCCGAAATTCGGTGCCCAAGTCAGCCTGTGCTGCCCTTACTCTTCATTGTTTTACAAGTTGGTCAGAAAGTCCCCTCAGCCTTCGTTTTTCCATCAGACAGGCCAAACTACCGGAATACCCTATCACACGCCAGGATCATTTTAATTATTCTTACAAGGACCTTATCCAAATCCCCTACATCTTCCTTAGGATCGAACAAAGACCACAAGTCTACACAACTCTGTGATACTGAATAGCCAAAGTGATCTTGAAAAATTAAAAAATAAAGGAGGACTCACACTTCCTGATTTCAAAACTTACCCCAGGCGTAAGTATGGGTATATAAATCAATGAAATAGACTTGTGAGAACCAAACCTATGTTTCTAAGATCATCGGATTTTTGAGAGGAATGTCTACAACCTTCAGGGGGGAAGACTAGTCTTCAACAAATGGTGCTGGACAACTGGATAGCCACATACAAAAAAGAAAAAAATAGAACCCTTACCTTCCACCATAGACAAAAACTAACTCAAAAAAACAAATTTAAAAATCTATATATAAGAGTGAAACCTATATTTTACAACTTAAAAAAGAAAACAGGGGCAAATCTTCTTGATTTTGTATTTGGTAATGGTCTCTTAAATATCACACCAAAAGCACGAGCAACAAAACAAAAATAGATAATTAGCCTTCATAAAAATTAAAAACTTCTGTGCACCAAAGGAGAACAAATATTAAGAGGGTGAAAAGAAATCACATAACTAATAATGTTCTAGTAAATAGAATATATAAAGAACTCAATAACAAAAAGACAATTTTAAAGAAATGGGCAAAGGACCTGAACAGACATTTCTTCAAAGAAAATACACAAATGGTCAACAAGTTCACGAAAAGATGTTCAACAAGATCTCAAAC